CTCTTCCTCAACACCCCTCCCTTCCTCACCCTCTCACCCTCCCTCCCTCTATCTACACCCCCCACCACACCCAATCCAATCATTTCAAAATAAAAGCCCCATGGAGGGAATTCTTACTGTAATGTTTGTGATGAGGCCTATTAATTGAAAACTTCTTAGTTTGAATAACAAACATTATCTCTCCCATCCAACCCTCACCCAGTTACATCATTTCAAAATAAAAGCCTCAATGATTATCTGTACCTTAATCATGAAGCGGTTTCATTTAAATACGTATTGCTCTTTCAAATACCACTACAACTACTACAAATATTACTAGTACTTCTAGTACTACAAATGATACGTCTACTACCATACTACTAGTATTTCTACTGCTATTATATAATAGTATTATAGTATAATAGTAGTGGTCATATAATAGTATTAGTATTACAGCTGTTTCTACTGCTATGGATACTAAATCGACTTATACTGCTAGTACTACTAATACCACGATTACAACTATAACTAATACTACTACTAATATTACTACAAACAATTTAAAACCTCTTTTTATTCAACTCAGCTTTTGTTATTTCTGTACTTTTTAAAATTAATTTAAGCTCCTTCAACTTCTGTATTTTTTAGAAAATCTATTGAAATTAATTAATCGTTGAAAGTCTGCTTTTTTTGCCTATTTTTTGCCTATTTTTGTGATTTGCTAGAGTTGTAACAGACCAAACTCCTCCCAGGGATAGTCATAGCGCCACCTGCGGAAAACAGGAAGTTGAATTGTTTTTTGGGTTTACACCCTGTTCCTCACAGGTTTTGCTCCTCAAAGGTCAATCTGATCCCTCTCAAAATTTCCTAGCAAAGACCAACTTTTCTTCTTCCTTCTGTAGAATTACTGGATATTCTAGTAAAATGTGCACTCACCATTTGTCACGCAGTGAGACGCTGTAGGAGAGGAAAGCAGGCCGGCTAGTGCAACTCCGCAAGCGTGGTTCTCGCACACCGTTGCCAGGCATCTTTCTCTTCAACGTGCGCTCACTGTGCAAGAAACAGGACGAACTTCAGCCGCTGGTGAGGAGAGACAGACCCTTTTCTACATCTTCCGTTTTTGTGGACCAACCCGGACTCCTTAGTTATTATCCTCGGTGAGTGTCCTCAACAAAGGTAATCTCACCCATGTACTTCCTAAATACACAGTTTATTAAATGCCCCACCAGAGAGGAGAATACGCTGGATCACTGTTACATGACAGTAAGCAGGGCTTATCACCCCATCACTCGTGCTTCACTGGGACCACGTCATGGTCCACTTGATTCCTGCATACAGGCAGAAACAAAAGCTCTGCAAACCAGTGGTGAGGGAATTCAAGAACTGGACCAGTGAGGCGCTGGAGGATCTTCTGTTTCACAACTGCTACTAACAGTCTGGATGAGTTCACAGAGGCTGTAACTTCTTACATCGGCATCTGTGAGGACAGATGTGTTCTATCATGCACCAGGTAGAGTTTCAACAACGACAAACACTGGTTCACAGCGGAACTCAGAACACTACGTCTGCAGAAGGATCAGGCATTTAGGAGTGGGGACAAAGACTTGTACACAGAGTCAAAATACAAGTTTAGCAAGGCGGTGAGAGATGCTAAACGACTGTACTCTGAGAAACTCCAACAACAGTTCTCAGCAAGTGACTCTGCTTCAGTTTGGGGAGGCCGAAAAAAAGCCGAAAAAAACCCACTCCATGAATGACCTCCGTCAGACGAGCTGAATGAGTTCTACTGCAGATTCGACAATGTCCTGATCCCCTCCTGCCACCCCCCCCACCCCCCACCAGCAACGACCTAAAGGTTGTGGATTTCAGGAAAAACGGAGCCCCACCTTCCCACTGTGGATTCCTTCCGTTTCCTGGGCTCCATCACTCATCCAGGACCTCCGATGGGAAGCTAAACATCAGCTCCATCTCCAAGAAGGCTCAGAAGAGGTTGTTGTTCCTGAGACAGCTGAAGAACGATGATGGTGCACTTCTACACGGCCATCATCGAGTCCATCCTCTGCGCCTCCATCACCGTCTGGTATGCTGCAGCCACAGCCAAGGACAAGGGCAGGCTGCAGCGTGTCATCCGCTCTGCAGAGAGGGTGATCGGCTGCATTCTGTCGTCTCTCCAGGATTTGTTCGCTTCTAGGAACCTGAAGCGAGCTAACAAGATTGTAGCCGACCCCACTCACCCTGAACAAAACGTGTTTGTGCCCCTTCCATCTGGCAGGAGGCTGAGGTCCGTCAGGACTAAGACCTCCTGCCACACGAACAAGTTCTTCCTGTTGGCAGTCGGGCTCATCAGCAGAGCCCGGTGCCCGACCGACCGACTCATTCCACCGGTCACTTTCTTTCACACTGCACACGTCACTTTCACTTTTTGTTCGCTGGTGCACTTTATTTTACATTTTTTAAATATTTTTAACTTTTTAAGTATTCTTTTATTTTTAAACTAACTTGTCGTCCATTGTCGTACTGTCTGCTGTTATGCACCGGCCGCCAAGTCAAATCCCTTGTATGTCTGACATATTAAGGAAATAAATGATTCCTGATTCCTGACTCCTGACTTATAACAGTGCATTTCAACCATAACAAAACAAACCCAGAAGAACAAGAAAGTACAGATAGATAATAGCCATTATAAGTACAATTCCAACTAAGGCAAGTCAGCCTTAGTACTGCATTGATCCAAAGTCGCGCCTGTGAACTTCAGACACAGGATGTTGCAACTCGGTGACAAATACCACAGGTGACCCAGACACGTCTGTCTACATTACACTCGTTGTGAGATAGGCCTAAAACCCTTTTGTCATGACTCTGTCGGCCTTAAATTATTTTTGATCTCTCACCGTGTGTTCGTTTCTTTCTTCTTCGTTTCTTTTCTTGAACTCGATGGATCGGCAATACGGGTCACGTCGGGACGGCAACTTCTCACCTTCAGAGAGGAATCGCCTATACCAGACCTGGGCATTGTACGGCCCGCGGGTTGATTCTGACCGGCCCGCGAAAGATTACATGATAGTTAGAGAATAAAACATACTTTCTAATTATCTTATGGGTGGACTAAAACCGTATTGCTTTTATTTTGAAGCCCATTTATTCTCACAGTGCACGTGAAATGCGTGTGATGGACAACCAGTCTTCCTTCCGTGTTACCCCTGAAAAATGCGAAAATGTCAGCTCATGCCAAAAGGAGGAAAGTAGATGCCGAAAACAGAACTTTCAAACAAATATGGACTACTAATTTTTTCTTTACTGAAGTGTTAACCTGTGTATTTGGTTTGTGGGGAGCATGTCGCTACAAACACACACACATACACGCACACAATACAGACACACTTACATGACTCACATACACACACAGTTTGTAGAAGAAGAAGTAACATCAGTGTTTATCCTGCAGTATCACCTCGGGTCCAGACGATGAGCCTCCCGTTGAGTCCATCCGGCGTTTCCTGCGTGGACCAATGGCGGCGAGCGCCGTGAGGTTTGCGTCTCATTGTCTCATCTGAGCCAGTTCCTGCTGCTGTATCTGTGGACGACACATCTATTGTTAAGATACATTCATGCACCAAAGGGGAAGAACTACAGGAAGCACAACGAATTTTCTTTTTGGTGTCATCTGAGATCAGCTTCTGTCTCAGTGATCAAATGATAACAATGATAATAACCATTAATAAGTAAGCAATAAGATACGAGAGCCTTTACTTCATCGTCCAATAATACAGTTGGAGGATGTTGTTAGGCCAGATGCGCAGCGACCTTATAAATAGGATGTAAATAGCTGCCTTTCAGCACAAAATTGTTGTAGCCACCAAACTGCTATTTTGAGTGCGCAGTGATCTGGATCGCTCAGGTCAACATAAACAGCTATTGTACATTATGGCTCAATACCGTGCACCCCAGTGTTTCCCCTACCATTATAACAGCCCCCCTCCACCCCCCCACAAAATGTACAATTTTTTGCTTGACACCTGTTTGTATTGTGGGGAGCATATCGCCATGTTTAAGTTTCAATTTGAAACAGCATTACGAGGCGAAACATGGCGATAAATATAAAAAAACTTGACTGATGCTGAACAAGTGCGCACATCAACGGATTTACTGGATAAACAACAAGGCTGTTTTACAAAGCTGCATGCAGCGAGAGATGCAGCGACCAGAACCAGCTTTGTGATAGGCCACAAAATCGCCCACAACAGTAAGCCATTCTCTGAGGGGCAGTTTGTGAAAGAGTGCGTGGTCGAGTCTGCAGCACTGCTGTGCCCAGAGAAAAAAGAAGCGTTTGAAAACATCCTGCTGCCCTGCCGCACCGTGACGAGGAGGGTGGAGGACATCGCGGAGAATCTGGAGTTTCAGCTGCAAAGTGAAGTGGGAAGCTTTGACTTTTATAGGTCCTATACTATATGGCCTTCTGTCCATCCGTCCAGATCACACGTCCATCCCATCCTCGTCGCTAAGTTTGTGGTGGAAATTTTTGGATTATCTTGAACTCGCTTTGTGATTAAGTATTTATTACTAACTAGAATATAGAAAACATGATAAAGAATACAGAAATCATCAACACAAGTCGTAAGTATAGATAGACAGAAGTCAAATGACTACAATTCAACTGAAAAGGGGCAGATTGTTCTTTCTGAAACGACTACACCTGTACTACACTCGTACACGTCTGTAGGTGCTGGGGACTCTGCTTCAGCCTGTGGGGCATTGTCTCATCCCAGTTCAGCAATACGTCTTGGGTCGGGACCGCCGGCCCTGCGAGTCCGTCAGCTGGCCAATCCGGATCAAACAGGAACCTCTGGATTAGACCTTTGACCTCTGCATCGTTTCCGTTTGATGATGATGCAACATAAGTCAAACTAATAAAAATGAATGGAAAGATCAATTTTATAACCTTTTTTTATAAAACTTTAAAAAAAATGTATGTCAGATGGTCAATTGATAAAAAAAGTAACAGATAAAATCTGACTTCTGGCTTCTTTTTCATTTTCATTTTCTTTATTTCATTTTTTTAGCAAATGTACAAACAACAAAGTTACAAACAACTGTAAAATTGCCTGAAATGTGCCAGGGTTGAATTCAGAATTTAGGAAATATAAATAGTTGCAAATATTGTGTCCTTAAGGATGAGTCGGCTGAACCTCCTTTAGAGCTTTGGACCAAACGAACCAAATGCCTGATATAAGGACAGAGACATTTAAAGCCTTAAAAACCTCCAATAAACAAAACACACTTTCCAAAAAGCCTCCTTACAAACTTTCAACAGCAAAACTGTATTTTAATAATTCACAGATGAAACTGTTCAACAGTACAAGGTCGATGATTTGCGTTCTACTGCTGCGCTAAAAGTAAAATCACATGAAAGGAGGAGCTAGAGGAATGTTTATCTGTTAGCCTGAGTGACTTCTAACTGGAGAACCAGCTCCCTGTGGAGATTTACTAAAGACTGTCAATCACTTGGGTTAAAGGAACAGTGCAACATTTAAATCCTCCCGCATCTAGTAGTTTAGCATTAAGACCGTATCCGCCACCTTCTGATGTAGTCTTTATGCTAAGCTAACCAGAGGCTGGAATCTGGGGACTTTAGATCACACACACACGTTTTATATTAACGATACACTTTAACATAAGGGATAAAAAGGGAGCTGAGTAGATACAGTGCATTGTGGGTAATGTAGGATGAGGATGTGGTTCCACTGGTCCGACTTAAGAGTCGGTTTCCTCTAGAGAAAAAGCGGTTCTGAAGCCTTGAGTTCACACTGTTCACACTGTTAAAAGTAGAAAGTGATCGTTACATCCAAGTCCCACATGTTCCCATGTGAACATGTGGCTCTGGCTTTTATTGCGTCACCTTTGATACTGTTTCATTTATCTCTGATCTGGAGCTGGCAGGCAAGGGGGAGATAAGTGGGACTTCTCCCACTTCTCCCTCACTTCAGTAGAGCCTTGTAGAGCGTCATGGAGCGGGAAGTGGAGCGGTCCTGTTCCAGGCAGAAGATAAAGTCCCTGAGGTTGACTCGTATGATGCGCTGACGGAGCTGCTGGCGGGAGAAGGAGGAGGAGCCGGGGGTGGAGCCTGGACCGGAGCAGGAGGTCACCTGTGGGAGGAGTCGGGGCAGCGTTAGCGTGGGGGGTTGACAGTATTATGGAACTACAGCTCTAAAGCAGGATCCATTGTGAGCCGTTGAGTGTGAGTGTGTGAACCCACCTCTGGTCAATACTGTCTGCCTGCAGCTATGTGTTGTGGGTGGAGCTTAGGGGGATCTCAGTGGGGTTAGGGCTTTGGTGGGGAGGCCCCCCCCACACCCTGCCAGCATTGCCAGACAAAGGGAGTAATGTGGGGGTGCATATGAGGTGCTTTAGTAGAGCGGTTTTTATTTTTCCATATTATATATATATGTGTAGAGGATATATTTATAATATAATACGTCCATTTGTTGGTGTTGTCTATAATATCAATAGTGAATTCAAAAGTAGCGCATTGCACACTTTTGTTTATGCACCTTAACAAATAAGATGCTTTTAACAGAAGTATTCCCTCTATAAAGAAGCCTTTTAAATAACTAAAAAATTCATAGAACAAATGAAATATGCATCTAACAGGGCGTTGAGGTTTTATCTGGTTTTACAGTACAGCAACCCTCAAAGCAACATCCCTCCTCTAGACTGGAGGGTCCAGATGGTTCTTGAAGGTGCCTTTAGTGAAGAACCCCTTATAACATCTTTAATTCAACTTTACCAATCTCCTGTTGTTTATCTCATTTACACATGATTTCTACATTCTAGACCCAACATACAGACTCACACTCACTCACACTGAACAGACACACTCACACGCACACAATACAGACACACTTACATGACTCACACACACACACAAACACACACACACACACACACACACACGCGCACACAATACAGACACACAGAGTTTGTCATCAAATGAAAGATAAGTAGAAGAAGTAACATCAGTGTTTATCCTGCAGTATCACCTCGGGTCCAAACGATGAGCCTCCCGTTGAGTCCATCCGGCGTTTCCTGCGTGGACCAATGGCGGCGAGCGCCGTGAGGTTTGCGTCTCGTTGTCTCATCTGAGCCAGTTCCTGCTGCTGCATCTGTGGACGACACATCTATTGTTAACATACATTCATGCACCAAAGGGGAGGAACTACAGGAAGCACAACGAGTTTCCATTTGGTGTCATCTAAGATCAGTTTCTGTCTAAGTGATCAAATGATAACAATGATAATAACCATTGATAAGTAAGCAATAAGATACGAGAGCCTGTACTTCATCGTCCAATAATGTTACAGTTGGAGGATGTTGTTAGGCCAGATGCGCAGCAACCTTATAAATAGGATGTAAATAGTTGCCTTTCAGCACAAAATTGTTGTAGCCACCAAACAGGTTATTTTGAGTGCGCAGTGATCTGGATCGCTCAGGTCAACATAAACAGCAACTGTACATTCTGGCTCAATAACCGTGCACCCCAGTGTTTCCCCTACCATTATAACAGCCCCCCCCCCAAAATGTACAATTTTTTGCTTGTTCTTTTTCCATGGATGGCAGTTCCACACTGACATTAATATGTTGCGAATAAGTCTGCATGGTGCTCGCAGCAGTGAGGCAGAGACAACTAATACGCCACAACCCCCCCCCCCGCTGAACCATTTGCCCGACTACTAGCTTTTGGGCCAAATAATACATCACCGCTCCCCGGTAAGCCAAACCCAGTGTACTACCCCACCGCCTGCCCAGACCACTTTCCCAACTACTACCCCCCCCCTCCCTGAAGTTGTAACCCTATTGCTTCCACCTGTATTATAATTTTATTAATGGTAAGAATGCCTCGTAGTGTCTCGTGGACTAAAGGTCACATCTGAAGCATGTCTGTCTATACTTGTGAGGACTGTTTGGGGCTGAAGATGAGATGTGGTCGTCATGATGACGCAGGTTAGTTCTGGGAGTTGGTCCAATTGTTGGGCTCTTAAAAAACAGTAATGACCATATTTGGGCATCTGGTTTACCTCTTTAGCTTTCTGCTTCAGACGAGCTTGTTCAGGATCTTCTTGTCTCGCTCGACTCTGAAAGAGAAAAATAAACTTTAATAATAACCGATTCAAGGTCCCTGAAGTATCGAGTCGGTTTACTCAGTAAGTGCTGTGAAAGAGGGATATTTGATATATGTGCCGGCACGGGCACAGACATTTTTTCGGGGGCAGGTGCTCAAACCAAAACAAAAGGCAATCCATCGCCAAAATGAATCAGAAATCAGGAAACATTTATTGCCAAAATATGTCAAACATACAAGGAATTTGTCTTGGCGGTTGGTGCGTGACATTAGACAGTGTAACAATAGACAACAAGACAGCAGTGCACAAGTAATAAATAAAATAAAGTAAAATGAAATGGATTAGTAGAATAAGGCTATGGGTTAGTATAAAACAAGAGAATAAAGTTAGAGTTAAAAATTTAAAATATTAAAAAAGTAAAAAAATATTAAGCATAAAGTGCACTAGTGAACAAGTAACAAAGTGACGAGTGACGACAAAGTGAAAAATTACAGTTAAAGTGACATATGCAGTGTGAATGGGAGTGACCGGTGGAATGTTATAGTCAGTCAGTGGGGGACCGGGCTCTGTTGATGAGCCCGACTGCCGACGGGAAGAAACTGTTCGTGTGGCGGGAGGTCTTAGTCCTGATGGACCTCAGCCTCCTGCCAGATGGAAGGGGCACAAACCGTTTTTGTCCGGGGTGAGAGGGGTCGGCTACGATCTTTTTAGCTCACTTCAGAGACCTGGAAGCCCTCCAGGGACGGCAGATTGCAGCCGATCACCCTCTCTGCAGAGCGGATGACACGCTGCAGCTTGTCCTTGTCCTTGGCTGTGGCTGCAGCGTACCAGACGGTGATGGAGGAGCAGAGAATGGACTCGATTATGGCCGTGTAGAAGTGGACCATCATCGTCTTTGGCAAGTTGAATTTCTTCAGCTGCCTCAGGAAGAACAACCTCTGCTGAGCCTTCTTGGAGATGGAGCTGATGTTCAGCTCCCACTTGAGGTCCTGGGTGATGATGGAGCCCAGGAAACGGAAGGAGTCCACAATAGTGACGGGGGAGTCACACAGGGGAATGGGGGCCAGAAATCCACCACCGTCTCCACTGTCTTTAGAGCGTTGAGCTCCAGGTTGTTCTGGCTGCACCACGACACCAGATGGTCAGACTCCCACCTGTGGGCGGACTCATCTCCACCAGAGATCAGTCCAATGAGGGTGGTGTCATCCGCACTTCAGGAGCTTGACGGACTGGTGACTGGAGGTGCAGCTGTTGGTGTACAGGGAGAAGAGCAGAGGGGAAAAAACGCAGCCTTGGGGGGAACCGGTGCTGATGGTCCGAGAGGCTGAGACATGTTTCCCCAGCTTCACGTGCTGTTTCCTGTCAGAGAGGAAGTCTGTGATCCACTTGCAGGTGGAGTCGGGCACGTGCAGCTGGGAGAGTTTGTCCTGCAGCAGAGACGGTATGATGGTGTTGAAAGCAGAGCTGAAGTCCACAAACAGGATCCTGGTGTAGGTTCTTAGGGAGTCCAGATGCTGGAGAATGTAGTAGGGCTGCAATTAACGATTATTTTGATAATCGATTAATCGTTCGATTATTTCTTCAATTAATCGATGAATCGGATTTTAAAAAAAACAGCATTAAAAAGCTTTAATTTCCAACCCTTTAATTCTAAAACAGAACCTCAAATTCGTCAGAACTAGTTCTCTATACTACACTCACAAACACACCCTCATGTTCACTTGAAGCATATTCATTAAATTATTACCATCATTGTAGTGCAAGTTAAGTAAATGCATAAAAAAGTGCTATGAGATGAATTTTAAATGGCATTTGTAAATAAATGCATTAGAGGCTTCTTAGTTGATTTAATGGATCACCATGTTTCTCCCTTTACAGGCATAACATCAACTACCGTATAACCCACAGTATATGCGCAAGCGCACTGGACTACCGGATATGACAGCATTAAAAAGTACAACACACACAAATATATTTGTCAACAATAACCGATATGGGACAAAGCACAAAATATCAGACGCCACATTGAAAAATGAATGGTCCAAAGAGCAGAGTAAATAAAAACGTGTCTTAGTCTTGCTAACTGCTTTACTGCTGTTATTAGCGAGCTAACGCTAGCTTGATCAGCTGGATGACGAGTAAACAGGAGGCGTCAAAACGGGACAACGTGGACCGGGCCCCCCCACGCTCGCACACCTTAGACGACTAGTCGAACAGACGTCTCTCCCTGCGTCATGTGACTCACAACAACTGCCGGCTGCTCTTTCCTCTCGGCTCGGTGCCTTTATTTTTATTTTTGCTCTGCGCGCATCTCCGCAACTCATTGAGTGACGTAATAACCACGCGACACAACGAATTGATAATGAAATTTGTTGCCGCTTTTAATAATCAATTTTAATCGATTTTATCGATTCGTTGTTGCAGCCCTACTCTGTAGGCGAACTGCAGGGGGTCCAGGAGGGGGTCGGTGAGGGACTTCAGGTGGGTCAAGACTAGCCGTTCAAAAGACTTCATGACTACAGAGGTCAGGGCGACCGGCTTGTAGTCATTGAGTCCTGTGATCCTGGGCTTCTTGGGAACAGGGATGATGGTGGAGGCCTTGAAGCAGGCTGGTACGTGGCATGTCTCCAGGGAGGTGTCAGTGAACACCGGAGACAGCTGGTCAGCACAATGCTTCAGGGTGTGAGGGGAAACAGAGTCCGGACCGGCTGCCTTACGGGAATCTTGTCTTTTAAAGAGACGGTTAACGTCTCTCTCCGGAATAGAGAGGGTCTGTGACAAAGTGGGTGACAACTCACCTTTGTCCCCATGATGGTATGTGGGCTGAATGCTTGCCATGCTCTGCAGGTGTGCTGGAGGCTAGAGAGGGCAGGCAGTGAGGCCTAGTGTTTCTGCAGGGGATGATGTCAGCAGTGACATCATCGGGTGGATTGATTGACGGCGCTATAAAGGTGGAGGACATTGACTGTTGGGGAGAGATGGTAGAACATGTGTAGCTGAAGGCTGATGTCAGATGAGGTGATGATTAGGTTTCTTCAGTTTGGTTTTGTTTATCTGTTTTAATCAGACCTGTAAAGGAAACTTCCTTATTTTTTACAAATAAAGAAAACATATTTTTTACCTGGACCAAGTCTTGCTTGCCTGCCTCCTAATTCCAGGATTCCCTCGGTTGTGACCTCCTCACAGGGTCGTTGCTGGTGGGGGAGGGGAAGGTGATAAAGATGAAGAGGCGTGAGCACCTGATGGGCTGGGGGAGGGAGGGGTGAGGGGCTGCAGCAGGTTGGTGGAGCTGTGGGGGATGGGATCAGGACATTGTCTCCTTCGAATCTGCAGTAGAACTCATTCAGCTCGCCTGCCAGGCGGAGGTCATTCATGGAGTGGGGGGTTTTTGGCTTGTAGTTGGTGAGGTGTTTGAGGCCTCTCCAAACCGAAGCAGAGTCACTTGCTGAGAACTGTTGTTGGAGTTTCTCAGAGTACAGTCGTTTAGCATCTCTCACCGCCTTGCTAAACTTGTATTTTGCCTCTGTGTACAAGTCTTTGTCCCCACTCCTAAATGCCTGATCCTTCTGCAGACGTAGTGTTCTGAGTTCTGCTGTGAACCAGGGTTTGTCGTTGTTGTAACTCACCCTGGTGCATGATGGTACACAGCTGTCCTCACAGAAGCCGGTGTAGGAAGTTACAGCCTCTGTGAACTCATCCAGACTGTCAGTAGCAGTCCTGAAAACATCTCACAGACTCCCAGTCTGTGCAGTCAAAGCACGCCCGAAGATCCTCCAGCGCCTCACTGGTCCACTTCTTGAATTCTCTCACCACAGGTTTGCAGAGCTTTAGTTTCTGCCTGTATGCAGGAATCAGATGGACCATGACGTGGTCAGAGTGTCCCAGTGCAGCACGAGGGACGCGTGATAAGCCCTGCTTACTGTGGTGTAACAGTGATCCACAGTGTTCTCCTCTCTGGTGGGACATTTAATAAACTGTCTATATTTAGGAAGTTCATGGGTGAGATTTCCTTTGTTAAAGTCCCCGAGAACAATAACTAAAGAGTCCGGGTTGGTCCGCTCCACACGCCGTATCTGGTAGGCGAGTGTCCGCTGTGCCTCGTGCTTGTGCATGTAAACACCGACCAGGATGAATGAAGCAAACTCACGGGGGGAATAAAAGGGTTTGCAGTTGATGAAGAAAGTTTTCAGATCAGGAGAACAGTGTTTTAGGATCACCGTTACGTCGTTGCACCAGCTGTTGTTAAAGTAAGAGCTCCGTGACGCGGTCTGCTCGGAGCAGCTGGAAGCCCGCCAGCTGGAGCGTGGAGTCCGATATCAATCCGCAGAGCCACGTCTCCGTGAAGCACAAAATGGAGGATGTAGAAAAGTCTCTGTCTCTCCTCACCAGCAGCTGAATTTCGTCCTGTTTGTTGCACAGTGAGCGCACGTTGGAGAGAAAGATGCCTGGCAGCGGAGTGCGAGAACCACGCCTGCGGAGTCTCACCAGCGAGCCGCCCCGCTTTCCTCGCCTACGGCGTCTCACCGCGTGACGAAAGGTGAGCGCACCTTTGACTAGAATGTCCAGTAATTCCACGGAAGAAAGCAGGAAAGTTGGAAGTAACCCGCTGGAGTTGTTCCACGGATGTTCAAGAGCTCATCTCTGGTGAAAGAGCTCCGGGAATTGCAGCAGGAAACATATTTAACTACAAAAACCACAAAAAACGAAGCGCACCAAAGCACCGTGGCAGCCATCAACGGCGCCATCTTGGATCATCATTTAATCATGAAATTAAAATTACTAATAATAAAATAAATAAATAAAAAACACAGTAGAATAATTTCCCTGTCCTCTCTCTTTTCTTGACATTCGATTCAATTCAATTCATTTTATCTTGTATAGCCCAAAATCGCAAATTATAAATTTGCCTCCAAGTGCTTTACAGTCTGTACACATGCGACATCCTCTGTCCCGAAACCCACACATCAGCACGGAAAAAACTCCCAAAAAAATGAAAAACCCTTCTATGGGGGAAAAAGGGAAGAAATCTTAGGGAGAACATCAGAGGACAATTCCTCTCCTGATGGACAGACTACAATGGATGTCATGTGTACAGAATGAACCATGAATGTAAAATATGTACAATACATTCAATTCCTAAAACAGAAATGATTCAAATAATTGTGAGTAAGCCAGGTGTACGGCCGGACCACTGCAGGGACAACCACCATCAGATTGAACCACAAATTTTGTAAATGGGATAAACAATGTTGTGCATAATAATCAAAAGCTCAGAATCAGCATTTTTTGTACTGTTTTCTGTTGAAGCATAAGCAGCATTACACTAATAATATACCACAACATACCTCACCAGACTGTCATGTAGCTCAACTTAAGACCGTTCATTTCAACAATTGTATATTAAACAAAACTAGTAAACTAGTGATCGTGTCTAATTTGTAGAACAATAAAATAAAATAAAATAAAATTCTCTGCCTGCCTGCATCTATCTCTCTCTCTCTTCATTAAACATGATAAAAGTCAGTAAACAGCTGGTCAAGACTTTGAAATCACGGATTTTGTGACTTTTTGTTTGTTTATTTTTTTAGGACACCTTTGATCAGTTGCAAAGTAATGTTTTAAATTAACTCCGCTAATGTTGTGGTTAATTTACCATTATAATAAGGGTAGATTTAATCCAGAGTTCTGATTGGTTGAGAGTGAGTCACGAGGGGTGCATTATTGACCGATAATGTACAGTTGCTGTTCACATTGACCCAAGCGCTCCATATCACTGCGCACTCCAAGCAACATGTTAGCTTTTGCGCTAACATGTTAGTTAACCGTTTTAGCTTTTAGCTCAGTGGCGATCGCCGAAAAAAATAACGGAAATCCCACAAATGATCAGTTTCCGGCAATGCTTTCGCAACCGGACAATCAAGGTGGACGTTATCAGCGATGTGAATGAATATGGTGCGGGACCTGATGCGGTTTATATGCACTCGTACCTTATTGCTTTACTAGGGGTCTATCTGTGCACATGCCTGTATATATATGTATGTACATACATCTATACACATATATCAAATTTTTAATTAAAGATTAATGAATTTCAAAATGTGAGATTAATTAGTTCTTTTTCTAAATCTATTGACAGCCCGAATATATACACATACATAGACGTACGTACACACATATGTACCTTGGCGGCCTTCAGCAGGATCTCCCTCTCCTGCTCGTCCTTCCTCTGCTTCTCCATCTGTTCCAGCTGCTCAAAGAAGCGAAGCTGAGAGCGAACGTCTGACGTATATTCGTGTTGCTCTTCATCCTAGTATAGCGGAGAAAACATCAACAGCTTTAGAATCATGAACACGTGTCTGTGGATCAGAGCGACACAAAGAATGAGACAAACAGTCCTTGCCTTCCCTCCGTCCATCCGATGTTGCGCAACGACCGAGACCTTCTCCAGGAGGGAACGTAGTCTGGACTGAGTGGCATGAGACACCAGGTTCACCACCTCCAGAGGAACCTCAGTGACTCCCAGCTTCTTAGCTGAGGATGAGAGTAGCAACAAGATGGACTTCTTCTCTACTGACATCTATTGGTAGCCCCTATTAGAGACACCGGGTCACTAAGTGACAGAGGACAAGCGACGGGTAAGAGAGGACAGAGGACAGGTGACAGGTAAGAAGTGACAGAGGACAAGTGACGGGTAAGAGAGGACAGAGGACAGGTGACAGGTAAGAAGTGACAGAGGACAGGTGACAGGTAAGAAGTGACAGGACAGGTGACAGGTAAAAAATGACAGGACAGGTGACAGGTAAAAAGTGACAGGACAGGTGACAGGTAAAAAGTGACAGGACAGGTGACAGCACCTGTGTCCAGGATACGGCGGTGCAGCAGGGCGATGGGCAGGAAGGCTTCGTCCTTGCAGGAGCGGATTTTCGTGCCCACAAAGTCCGAGCTGGTTGCTAGGATACGGGCGTTCTCCTCATTAAGGTTGACGCCGGCCATGGACGCCACGTCGTTAATGTCGTCGTCATCTCTGAGGATGAGCACAGTGCAGAGATGAGAGGTAAGGTCTCAGGTGAACACTAAAGGTGGTGTTAGTGTGACCTCCTGCTGGCCAATGAGATTCGACCCTACCTGAATGTCCCGCCCCCTGGGTCGCTCAGCTTCATCTGATTGGCTTGAGCGGCCAAGTTCAGAGGACCTTTACCGATTATGGTTGTCCGTCCTCTGTCAAGTGTAGCTGAGGAGAATGTTATACATTAATAATAATAATCACATATAATAATAACAGATCAATAACAGAATAATACAATGAATTCACCTTGAGGTCTGAGCGTCTGACTGAAGACTACAGGTGTTCTGCTCTGGATGTTTGTTCTGCCCACAGCCTGAAGAAATGGAAATAACATTTAAAGGGGCCATATTATGAAAATTCCACTTTTTTAGTGCTTCCATACATTAAATTGGGTATCTGGCATGTCTCCCAACACAAAAAAACGCTTGAAAAAAACAACTCATGCGGCTTGTTGTGGTGTGGTGTTGTGTTGTGGTTTCAGAAACAAATGGGATCACCACCAACGTCTACGTAGATTTTGAAGCACGCCCATGTAGGGAGTCTGCCTACCCCCCTCCTTTGCCAGCTATTGCCAAAGGAGGGGGGAGGCGAGAGGGGGGAGGAGGGAGCTGGCTCATTAGCATTTAAAGGAACAGGAACTCAAAACAGGTCAATCTGTGGGGAGGTGTTTTTGACAGGGTAAAAAGGGTTCTGTTTGAAATGATTCTTGTGGTATTTTGACCAAAATATGTTACAGACATTTCATTGAAACCCCAAGGAACCATATCAACTTGTGGAAAAATGGGCATACGATGGGTCCTTTAAACAAGAATAGGAGGAAAGCACCTAGTGGACAGAACCAAGATCTAGCAAGATTTTCCGCGGAATCTTTTACGAACTCTTACCAGACGCTGGCTCCGATTCTCACAAAAATTTCAGGAAAAAGCTTGTTGATATCTCATTGGGTTTCGAAGTTATAGACCAATGAAGATTGTAGGGGGTGTGGCCTAAAAGTGAAAGACCTATAACTTTAAAAGTATTTGTCTCACCAAATCTCTAGGACATGTTCACATTGAGTCCCTGAGCATACCCTGATTCTTCAGAATATTTGAACTCTAGGGGGCACTGCAGTCGTTCTCTGAAATTTAGCTTGTTTTTTGGAATTTCCATTTTGGATTTACCAACGAACAAACTCCTCCGAGAGTTTAAACCCGATCGACTTCATGTTCGGGAAAATTGATCCTGACACCTGTGAGGACAAAAATTATTAAAATCAAGAGTTTTCGTGCAACTACCAGGGCGTGGCCTGGCGTCCATTTTGGTCGATTTTCTTGAAAATAGAAAATGTTGTAACTCCAAGCCAAACATTTTTATTTCTGGCTGAAATTTCTAATTCATGATGCTATTGTACGCCTTGAAGTATTCCCATGCAGTGATTTTCAAAAAATGATAGCGCCACCTATAGGCTTAGCTAAATGCAAAAGTTTTACACTTTAATGTGTATCTCCTAGCCATTTAATCTGATCAACCTCAAATCCTTGAATATAAGCCTTAAGGCTTGTATGATAGTTCACACTGAATATCGGCAGTTTTTGAAAAACCTTGTTGCCGCGACGACACTGTCTTCGCATGAAAATTCAAGCAGATACTGAGGGGGGTGTCCTGTATCAATATCAGTGTTATCGGTAGTATGGTGTGTTGTGTGAGTGTGACAAAGTAAACATTTCAAATATTAAATGTGTAATTCTTTGGTCCAAGTAGATGTTAAAATAATATTTTTATTAAATATATTATGATAATATAGATTTAAAAACATTATATCACACTTACACACATGGTTCATTTTCATCTAACACCAAACATTTAGGTCAATACTGTTCATTTTTTTAACCTTGTTGTTCGTTATACAATTAATGAAATTGTTATTTAATAAATAATCAATACAAAATAGGTTAGCTTTGTGTAACCAAGTGGAACGGACTCGTGATTCGTGTCTACCGGACATCTCACAGAGAGACACCCGTCCCTACAACGTGAGTCAACTACACGTGTTTAATGCGCTAAATGGAAAGCAGTGGAAGGACTATTATCTGAGCTAACAGGCTTGTCTCTCAATGTTTCTGCGGCTCTTTATTAAGGAAAATGTTACAGTTTAGCTTAGTGTAAACATGTGGGAATGACGTGGAAAGGTTTTGTTTGACCATCGGATACTTTTTAATAAACGCAAGGTAGGTTGCGCATACGATGGCTTAATAATGTAACGTTAAGTAAAGTTAATCAATCTAAAGTTATTTTTTACTTTATCGAGAGCAAAATTAACGTTTCACTACAGTTAACACAACTTCCGTTAACTTCCGTTATTACAACACAGCAGTTGAAGATGGAGAGAGCTTTTGGCATCGGAAGTAAAACCAACAGGCGCGACATACAGCGGAGAACTGTGCAGAGGAATTTATCCACGTATTTAGCACTGATAGGGCCTGATAGGTAGCTTCTAGGCTAAGCTAGGCTAGCTATTATATTAGGTTCTTATTATATGTTCACATTGAGTCCCTGAATACACCCTGATTTTTTCAGAATATTTTAACTTTAGGAGGCGCTGCTCTCATTCGCTTAATATTTGCTTGTGCTTCGAATTTCCATAGACTTTTCGATTTACAAACTCCTCGGTTTTAACCCGATTGCGCCAGCTATTGGCAAAGGAAAATGCAAAAGTTAATACTTATCTGTGGTGGAGAAGTGTGATTAGCTCTCGTTCTCCCCCTTGACTGAATGGAGGTGATCCTTCATATTAAAATTTTTTGCAGGTTTTTGCACAGCAAGGCAAGTAGCCTATTGGTGTGGTCTTCTGTTTATGAAGCCACAGACCCGTTCAAATCCCACACCCATCACTGATTTTTTTGTCTTTTTTACTGCGTTCCCGGCTGAGCGTTGCCCCCAGACATGCAAGGGGAGGCGAAGGCCCGTTCATCGCTGCTTGCAGCTTTAATAAGTTTTATACTTTATAAAACACAGCGGCATCTACATTTGGTTCGTGATCTCGCTGCGCATCTTGATAGCGGTAAAAACCATGTGATTTCCCCATCACCCATGCATCATTACCCTGGCTAATCGCACCTGTGCCCCCATATGTAGACTCTGTCACACTGCCACCTGTAGCCAACCTGAGATTGGCTCCCAACACCAAATGGTACACAAACATCCCGAATGGCTCCAACACACTGGCCCCTAATTGGGGAAAGTATGCCCAATAACATTAATTTAAACCCAGAGGAGTCATAAAAAATAAAAAGTCAGATTTATTTCCTTCCTTCTTCGGCAGGTGTTACCAACACCAGCAATGTTAGGTCATGACCTTTACACTGCTTCTTGAAGCAGAAAAATCTTGGATATAGGCCGCTCCAATTTTCCAGTCTTTGTCTGTAACTGTACTGCACGTACAAATCCTTTTTTATCTGGGTATGTCTTCCCATGATCCGTGACCCACGAGGAGCATCATTGCCATGATTATGACAATATCACCAGCTGCGAAACTTCTCTGCGGCTTTGTCCACTTTTGTCATTCCTGCAGTAGCGGCAAGTAATCTCGTGTCCATCTTTTCTAGAACAGATCTGACAGGTACTGAATTTGTCTCCATCGTCTCCTGATGTAAAGATCATTTTCTTCAAAAAGTCCTGGGGCGATAATAGGTTTTCCTTTGAGCAAAAGGATATGATTTGGAGTGAGAGCTTCAAAGTCATTGACGTCATCAGAAACCTTGGTTAGGGGGCAGTCAATGAGAATGGCCTCTACTTCACACAAAATTGTATGAAGGATTTCATGGTCTAAAGATTATTGTTGAAGCACAGAAAACAAGATCTTTCTGACCATTGTAATGAGGCGCTCCCAAACGCCGCCATGGTGGGATGCAGCAAGAGGAATGAAAGCCCAGTCTTTCGCAAGAGGGTGTTTTTAATCCTGCTATGGTCTATGGTACCTAAGGCCTCTCTTAACTCTCGCTCTTCTCCAACAAAATTTGTGCCGTTGTCTGACCTAAAATGACGCACTTGGCCTCTGCGACATATGAACCTTCTTATTGAATTAATGCAGTAGTCGGTATTCAGAGAGTAGGCAATCTCCAAATGTACGGCTCTGCTAGCCACGCAGGTAAAAACGCGCCTGACTACTGACTGACTGTCTAGTTAATTTATTTATTTTTGTGCTGGTAATATGTTGTTAAATAGGTTTAAATTTAAATAAATTACCTATACTAGTAGTTATGTCTCGTTGTATTAATTTGTCCTGTTATTGACGTGCCTAATGCGCAACCAAATATATTAGAATATCTGTCTTTTTTTAAAGCGAATATTCAAACGTCCTTTTTGAGCAATTTTGACAGCCCTAATACCTTTTGACCATAGCACATCCTCTCTTGACCTCTATGGATCCGAAATAGTCCACTCCCACCTTGGTGAAGGGAGGCAAATCTGGACTTCTTTCTTTCGGCACGTAAGCCATTTTCTCTTCACTTGGCTGTCCTCGATGTCGTCGACAGACCACACAGTCAGATATTATCTTTCGGCAGGCCAAGTTTCCACTTGTGATCCAATATTTACGCCGCAAAATTGAGAGCATATCCAAGACGCTGATGAATGTTTTTCAAAATGAGATTGGCTACTTGCTGACCTCTGGGGAGTATTGCAGGATGCTTCAGCTCCTCGGGCAAAGCAGCACGGCTGAGTCATCCACCCACTCTCTAACAAATTTATAACAAATCTATAACAAATCTTCCAACACAGGGTCCAATCTGTAGATATCACTGGTTTTCCTTACACCAGATGATCCACCTTCCAATGAAGACATTTCTTCTTTGAATGTCGCTTGCTGGCTGAAGCGAATAATGGCAGATTCTGGTCTGTAGATATCCATTACGGAGAGTGACTGACTAATGACTGCATCTCTGACCTTTCCCATTTCCATTTCCACTTTTTCTGGTTGTGTGGCTGCGCCGGCAACAGTTAAAGAAGCAATAACTTCATTCCCTTTTCTCCTTAGACCCAGCAGAATAGTTTTGAGCTTAAGGAACAAGGCAATTGAGGTCCTTAGTTCATTCCAGCAAGAAAAGTAGTTAATGAGTTTGGTGGCTGCACCCTTAGAATCTGTGATGATGATGTTTGCCATTAGGTCCCGTTTGACCTCTGGATCTTCTGAGGAAATGGGATGTGGATGTAAGGGTATTGGCCAATCCAACTCTGCTTTTCGAAAAGAAAGTCTGGGCCCGATATCCACCTCTGACATGCTAGGAAGTTATCCGCTGTGAGACTTCTGGAGGCTTTGTCAGCAGGATTGTTCTT